TATATATATATATATATATATATATATATTTATATATATTTATATATATATTGTTAAGCTGGTTTTGCTGTCAACATTGATAAACTTTTCACATCTTTAAGGTTCCTTTGAAAAGTAATGAAAAATGAATATATATTTTTTACCTAAACCTATGAACTGTTCCTTACAAAATTTGGCCTTGGGACGAACCATTGATAAGCTACCCTTTGTTTGCTATTAAATTTGTTAAGGTTTTAGTAGTCTGGAGAAGAAAGGTCAGAGAACCAAATTTTGATTGTCAATGTATTGGTATATTTGATATAAAATAAGATAAGATACTTTCTTGATCCAAATAAATGGAAATTTTAGATTTATTTATAGTGCAATGAATAGGAAAGTTTATGACAAAATCAGTGTTCTTTTTTTCATAACTGGTCAAAAAATATTTTGCCATTATACAACTTGTTTTAATATAAAAACATACTAAAAGTTATTACAGGAAGTTGAGTACAGAAAGGATGTAATATTTAGAATTTTTAAAATTGACATTTAAAAAAATTATTTTAGCCATAAAATTTATGTCTACATCTAATTTTAATAAAGGTGAAACAACCTCAATGTTGTGTTCTGTTGTACCTTTTTTTTTTTTTTTAATTATATTTATTAAGTAAAATTAAGAGTGCTTCTTAAATGTAACTCGTGATTGTTCATCCAATTAATTCCTATTTGTTCTCATTGGTAGAGTTTAAAAAATTTAAGGCAAAGACAAATTTAAAATACTGTCCAACAAGTCAAAATCATATGTGATGGCTTTCTTAGTTTTCAAACATTAGATATGTTTACATAGCATTTTGAACCAGGAAAGTTGTGCCTACTTGAAACAAACTTGTTCAATTTGCAGTTAAAATCTAATGGAGTAAAATTGGATCCTCCTGATATTTGCCATTTAATAGCTTAGCAATATAAAGTTCTGATCAATAATTATTGTGTTTTGGGACTTGTAAATGTATACTATCTTATTTTTTAATAATGCCTAAAATACATGTTGCTTGTGGATGGCAAGAAGCATAGGGCATAATGTGACAATTTTATGACATGTTTTTTGTCAACATTTATACAACTATACTATTCATAACAAAAATGCATAATGTCATTGCTATTTTTATTTTTAATTTAAAAAAGTAACATGGCATAATGTAAATAATTTTAGCACTTATCTTTAGCATTGGCCAGCATTTTATTTTTTTTTTAATATAAGAATATCTTTATTGTGGTTACCTCATAGTTAAATGAAATTTTAGTCTGTGAATGCTTAAAGTCCAATTTTTTTGCCCTCATATTGTGAGAGTTATTAATAAAATTCTAGCCAGAATTAGAAAGTATAAAGACTATATTTAAATTTCCCTTTTGTATTCATGTCAAAAATGTAGTTAAAAATATGGATTAAAATTTTCTTATAACTTTTGAAGAACGCCATCAAAATTATTAAACATGCTCTTTACAGACTTTGAAAATAAACACATGCTACTTATGGAAGGAAAATTGTTGAATTATGTTCTCATTATTCAGTAAAAATCCAATCATATTACTAGTTGTTTGTCTTCATTATTTGTATGTCTAATTGGTTGCATACATTGCAATAAAACAAACTTGTTGAAAATTTATCTGTTTTCTCTTTGAAATCATTTTAGTTTTAGATTTGCCTACTATGTTATATACTATATTAACAGACTTTAAAATTAGTACCACAAATTTATGTGCACATATGTTGCTCAAAATATTTATTAAAAAATGCCCGTCTGAAAATCACACAATAGAGTGTAACATGAAGAATAGCCTCATGTAAAAAAGTAGTCCTATCATTAATTATTCACTGCTTTATTATGTCTTTTTGTTTTATCATTTTAAGCTTTAACACAGTCCAAGCCTCTCTGAGTTTTCTAATGGTAACAATGTACAACTTTCAAATTTAAAAAAACAAAAATAAAGCATTTACTTGACAAATAAATTGTCAGACGAGTATTTGTGACAGAAAACAAAGAGTTTACAGCAAAAATCAAAGAACAGAAAATGGATCCAACAAGAAATGAAATGAACAATTAATTAAATAAAATTCTTAGTTAAGAGATTATAGAGGTACTAATAATGAAATATATATTGCATTAACCCATAAACTTAAAACATAATGCTACCAGCAATAGCTACCAGCAATTGCGGCAATCACTGGTAAAAATAGATGATTTGTGTGCATAATGACCCTTCCGATTCTGTTAGTACATCTGAAAAATAAATGCTAAAACTCTTCCAAAAAAAAAAAAATTTTTCAATAAATACATTAGGAAAATTTCTGCTGCACCACATTGGGAACTCGGTAATTCCTTCATAATGCAAACATTTTGAGCAAGATGTCCAAGATGTGTGTCCCAAAAAAGACATTTTCATTTCAGGCTTGTCACAGAAAAAAAATCACTCTCTTAATTGGCATTCCAAGAGATGACCAGGTCAATTCATCAGTGTCTGAGACGTTTAAAGTAACTAGTAAAATGTCATGATTGGAAGTTTAATCTGTATGACAAAGCACAGTTCATACTATCCTGTTTTGAGACTGGCCAAACAGATTTTTCTCTCGTTTCTTCATTTTTCTTAGCATCACGTAATGGACTATGAAAGTTCCTAAAATAGTGGCCATCAGAAGACCAGTAGCTGTCCCCACAACACATGCAATAGCGACTTTTTGATTGCCAGGTGGCACTTTGGCATCTGGTTTTTCATCGATGGTGATTTCACTTAAAAACTCTTGTGTTAAAATATCAGGCACAAATCCAAAACCCACAGTAACAATGTTGGACATCTCTCCTTTATTCCCTGATTCATCAGTGGCAAATACCGAGAAGACATAACTTGTGTTTTTCTCTGTTGAAGTGTTAAGCTTCAGCGTCACCTGTATGGAATATCTAGATTTCAGTTAATGCATTACAAGGCTATGGGTTGTAATCAATGTGGGGAAATACAAGCAGTCTCTAGAGAAAAGATAAATGTGAGCACTTATCAACTCCAATGAAGTTAAGAGATTGACTTCATAGTTTCTAAATAATTTAATAAACCTCATAAACTTTTAATTTATGTTCTACTTTAATATTTTTAAAAGAATGATTCAAATTGCATGTGAATCTTTAAAAAAAAAAATGGTTTAAACAATAAAAAATCGGTCAAAATTAATATCGTTTTTAAAGAGAAAATGGTTCACATAACCAAGAGTAATATCTGTAGTAATTTTTATTATATTCCATTTCACTTCAATGCGTAAGGAAATGGAATATATTTGTATAATAGGGTGCCCTAATGAACAATGAGTCAATTTTATTTAAAATGAATTCTTCAGAAAGAGACCTTTACAAAAAGCATCAATCAGAAAAAAAATTAAATTAATTTGATAGCAATAGATATAAATAGTGTCTTAAGGGTCAATCCAGTTTATGACTTAAATTCACATTTGGTACTCATTATGTAAAGAAATCTTCCAGGCTTGTAACATTTGTTAAAAAGAAAAAGGAAATAAATTAACTGACAGAAAGAAAAGTGATTCTGATGTTTCTTCTGTTGATAGGGATGAGGTTGGCACAATCTTGTGACATTGGGGAGAATGCACTCATGCTTTAGGTAGGTCTTTGCATATAGTTTCTTATATTAAATCAAACGAACAAATGACTTTTAAACAATTGTTGCTTCTACTACTGCTATTGCGATGCATTGAAATGTTAATGTTATCCACACCTCTTCTCTACTGCCATACAATTGTGGTTTGTCAAGGTTTCCTTTAATGACTGCAGATTTGCCCAGAGCTGGTAAATCCACATTTTTAACCATGTCTTCTGCTGTGGAACTCATCAGAATTGTGTAGGCAAATGCTGGAATAAAACAAGAAATATTGTTAACAGAAAGTAGATGAGGCTCTAGGAGTATTTTGTAGTCAAATTTCAGAAAAACATTTCATGGAATGAACAACTCTTAACTAGGGTGACGACAGGAGATGAGGACTCCAATATATAGATTTATATATATATATATATATATATATATATATATATATATATGTATGTATGTGTGTGTATATATGTATATAAAAATATATATATATATGAGCACACACACTTTTCTCTATTATAGTCTGTATTATCTCTGTGTGATTTTAGACACATATATGAAAAACATATCATGGAGAAAAAATCTCTTTCATAGAGTGAGGCCAGAAGATAAGAGCACTAATATATATATATATATATATATATATATATATATATATATATATATATATATATGTATGTATGGATGGATGTATATGTATATAATAATATATCTATAGATGAACCCAAGCACTTACCTCTATCATAGTCTGCATCATCTCCAGGTGCAGTCCAGGCTAACACAACAGTTCCATTGCTATGAGATGTGCACAGTACTCGCAGATCAGTGATTTTCATTGGTGGGTATTCATCAATAACTGTGATTGATGACTCACCAGTCTTTGATGGGAATTGAATGTGTTCAATTCTGACACTACCAGCGTAGACTCTGGCCAAATGGGACTGATCTACATCTTTAAAAAATAAGCAAAGAAATAAAATGATCACAAGATTAATCTCTATTAATAGTCCAGTAAAATAAACGGAATTTTTATTAGAAATTTATGAGACATAATACGGGCAACTGAAAAAAAAATCAGTAGTGATGGAAATTTTTAAAAAAACATGAGCTAACTAGGAATAAATAATGAATTTACATATCAAAATAGTTTTATTTTGAGAGTTATAAATTGAAAATCAAATTGATAATGTAAAGGAGACTAAAAATAATTGTAAAGATGTGTATTATTTACATGTACAGCTTTGACCCTTCTCTTTAAACACAAAAAAGAAAATTGCCATATAATAAAATATCATATCTTATTCAATAAACAGCATTTACAAACCAAAGACTTTGTACAAAATAGAGATTGGTATGTAATTTTCTCCATGTACTCCCATCTTGTTTTCTAAAAGCATATTTTTATGCCAATAAGTTTTAAAACTCAACAAAAAATTCTCACTTAATCCTCCTGTCACAATCTCATCACCACTGTCATCCATCATCTCAATCAAGGCACTGTAGCGGCCAGAGGCAGAAAAACTTGTAAAGAACCGTGAATATATACCATCATCTTTTATGACATCAGCGCCTTAAAAAAATGTGTAATCATTAGGCATAGTTATTGTTTAAAAACCGTATTAAATATTAAGGCAGAACATTTTCTAAAGTAATACTGTAGGTCTACATAAATGTATTAGCATTTTCTAATTATTTTACTTCACACTTGGATTTTTAAAAAATCCAATAAATGTATTTGTAAGAAAAAGACTAAAGGTTTATCTGTAATATTTGAATTGATATTGGAACAAGTTATGCTTAGGCTTGAAAAGAAAAGACAGGATAATTAAACTAAAATTTCATCTAGACACCTTCATCAGCAGACAATACAAGACAAAATTAAAACTCTTTTTGAAAACATGTCTTTATTTCTGTTTTTTTGTAATTTAAATCATCTGTTGTTTCTTGTTATTGCCTGCTGCAAAACAGGCATCTATCCGAAATGTAAGTTTAATTGTCTTGTCATATCTTTTCAAGCCTAAAACTATCTTGTTCCACTATTAATCTACTTCACAGAATTTGAAAGCTGTCCCTCATATATTATCCTGTAATATTTACCTGTGCCTGTATCAAAAAGTTCCACTTCTACAGGATCTGCCAGTGGCCTGGTTACAATAGCTTTGACCTTCAAATTTTTCAATGGTTGGTTACCCCTTGTTACTTCAGCTACAATAACTGAAATGACTGGCCAGGTTGTATTTTCTACCAGAATAGCCCCAGTGAATTTCAGATTAGGGGTTTCAGGGTCTCTTGGGGAGGACATAACCATTATAGAAAATTTCTTCCTAGAGCTATCTTCATTGGTAATTTCATATGACCAGCGACCAACCTGCAACAAAATACATATAATACAATTTTTTTTTTTACTCCACTAATTTCTAAAAACAAATTATTGGGGGAGAGAACAGCATTTGCGTTTGGAAACAAGTTGATTTATGATAGCTGTATCAATATCTAGCAGGAATTAGCACTGTTATGTAAGAGAGGTTCAGTGATAAAATTATTGCAAGAAACCTAAAGTAATTCTAGCAACCTTTTGTTTTGATAAATGAAAACTTGTTACAGATTATAGCGTGTCAGCATATTATTTTAACACAAAATCAGAAATAATGTAGATCTATCTTTCAATGCGAACAATGACAAGCAGCTTTCTGAAAGAACAAATAATTGAGAATTCAGTTATTTACTTTTTCTGTTAAGAAAGATGTACTATAAACCAGTGTCACATTGATGCGGCCATGGGTCCTTCCTTATTATTTATATCATATTCCCTTCCATAAATAAAGAAATTGAAATCAATAAAAATGAGAACGCCCATTTATATTTCTGTGTGTGCTACCTCATGTGTTAAAAATGTCAAACTACAAAATTAATGCATTACTACCTCAGCAAAAACTGGAATGGTTATCTTCACCCTCTTCATTACAGGGTCATGATAAAATTCTGGATAGATGGAAGAAAATTTTCTTCCTGTTGGTGACACAAGGACAATGCTGGGCAGTGTGCCTGTATATGTTATAATAGCCCTTGTGTTTTTTCCCAGGGTGGAATCCATGAGGAAGCTTCCTTGGACAGACTCAGACTTGTCGAGAGTTTTAGAGCGACTCATGATCTGGAATCAGATACAAATAAATTGATAGGTTATAAAAGGTGCAGATAACTGAAATGTATGAATATTACATAGTGAAATTTTTAATTTTGAAGTTTATTTTAATTCAACCTGAGCTTAAATAATTACAAAGGTGACAATAACATTTTTATATGCAATTTAATGTAGCCTTGTTTAAATATGTTTATAACCCAGTCTCTTTTTTAACATATAAATCATTCCCCTTGCCTTACTTGTACTGGGGATTGTCCTAGACCTGAATCTAGCAGATCATAAACATCCATAACTGCTTCTAAAGTTGATATCGATAGTTCACTGCTGGCATCATAATAATAGCGACCACCTTTTAAAGGGAAAGTTAATAAAAATACAACTTAAATCATGTTCATTTTAACAATAAAATAATTTTATAATTATCAATATATAATAGATCATAAAGCGAAACAATTTTAGAGGATCTTGTCTCGATATAAACCAATGGAACAAAAATTTGACTCTTTCTAAAGGTCATAAGTATAAGTTTATTTTAGAGCAAAGACGAGCTGAAAATGTTTCACTAGAAATTTTTGTTACATATTTTAATAGATGTGTTTAACTGAAGTGATAGAAAGGTGTAAAAATAAAAATTAAAAACATAAATTTACTCTTTAAATACTTAATAAAAGAATAAACGGCTTAGATTTTTTTCTCACATACCTGGTTTCTTAAGATCTAAACTAAATCTGTCAATACATTTGAATACCCCCCTAGCCCATTCCCTCAGTCAAACCTGTTTGTTCAGCAAGCAATTCGAGGCCATTGTCCTGGTCATCGGAGAAAGAAATAGTGCTGACCACCACTCCAGCATCCTTCACCTGTTGCATCACCTGATCCAGTTTTAGTCCTGATGTCTCAACCCCATCTGTGATAATAACAATGAATGCATCAGATGATTTGTGGTCATCACTGGACTTGTGATCATGTCTATCTAAAACCTGTTGGAAATTAATAACATTAAGAAATGTCTTTGCAGCCTGTAGGGAGGAAAATTGAACTTTCTTATAATATAATACATGTGAAGATAGAGAAGCTCAGATGAAACTTTGAATATTTTATTGAACTTGAAGGATTTGTTATAATTTTAAAGTACCTCTATACATTTCAGCAGTGCAGACCCAATACTTGTAGCGCCTTCAGCACTTGTTGGCAGCAACTTTGAAATTCTCTCCCTTGTGCTTGCATCTGTAATTTGTGTGATTGGAACAACAATTCTTGCAGTATCAGAAAAAGCGATAACTCCTAGTTCAATGCCATCATCAACTCCATCTTCTATGAATGATGTTGCTGCCTGCCTTGCTCTGTTGAGCTTATCATCTATCTTAAATAGATTAAATAATTATTTTTTTACAACATTTTTATTTTAAACCTACAGAATTTGGCAAGAAATAAGCACATATAATTTTTTATTAATTAATCCCTAAAAATACATAATTGCAAAACAAAAAAATATTACAAAATTCTAGAAGAAAACTATTGCTGTGGTTTTTTTTAAAGGGAAAATGTAACAACGTTATCACTAGTCTTGTTTGAATACTCTAAATTCACAAAATATTAATAATTAAAAAATGATTTCTAGTTATGTTTACCTCCATACTTTGTGATGTGTCAATGGCTATTAACATTCTTCTCGTTGTGGCCACCCTGACAAGTTTAAAACTTGGTCTTGTGTTTTCAATATTTCTGGGGGAATTTTTCCCATTATAGAAATCTGAAGTTTAATTGTTATAAAAAAAAATGTCTTACTCTAAGGGTTAAGATGTAGTTTTAATTGAAATAAATAGATTATATTTCAAGCAGTATAATCATGAGAGGGAAATCATAGATAAAGAAATAAAGTGAACTATAATAGTGAAGAATGAGAAAGACAGATGCATAAAAGTTTCTTTTTTTTGTTGTTGCTATATTTGTTTTTTAACTTATGTAATAAAATACTTAAGTTATATTTTTTAATAGAACACTGACGTACCCTTAAACAAAAAAAAACCATAAATTGATGTACCTGCATGTTCCGTTATGATGGACCAGGTACTTTTACTACCACAAAGACGGTTATGCCTGCTTGGAGATTCAAAATTGTGTACCCTGTTGGGGTCTGAATTATTGTCATTGCAAAAATGAATGACCTGTGAACAATATAAAGTGAGTTTAGGAAGAAAAACAGACACTTTTTAAATTAATCTTTTTGAGTCAATTTTAATCTTGTCTTTTTATTTTCATCAAATGTGTTGTCTTGTCACTAAATCTATGTAGCAAAAACAAATGATGATTGTTCAATTGTCTCTTTGCGAATTATGTCAATGCCTATTTTTAAAATCGATTCAGTTTTTAATGCTTTATGTGGTGTCTCTGTCTCCCAGCTGCTGAAGTTGGGAACTATATGAAACTCTAGGACTGGACCAGCTGCTGAAGTAGGGAACTATATGAAACTCTATGACTGGAGGTTTTTACGTCACTAATGTGACGTGAAATTAATACAAAGAGTGAAAACAATAAGGCTATTGATTGTATGTAATTAAAACTCATGAAATGATGTAATTAATAGCATAATACATTTAAACCTACTGATTTAATGTCAGTTGAATCCATTATAGATGCTGTAATATTTTCATTGTAGTTTCCTTGAGTGAAAGGTTCAAATAAACAGTTTTCTAGCAACCCTGTTTGTGGATTCAAATTTGAGCAGGCGACTTCACTCCCATTTTGGTCTTTCCTATGAATCAAGAATTATTAAAAATAATTGTATTTTTCCTAAAGCCAAGGCCAAGAGCATGCACCATATATTTTATGGTTAAAAATTACATGTGGGTCCCTGCGTACCGATGTTTATCTGGTCTGGAACAGCATTCTTTATGCTGGGTGTTTTTTCTGCGGATCAGGGTTTCCTATAGGTTTCCATTATAGAAATGTTCATTCATTATCGACAAAAACAAAAAAAGTTTTTAAAATGATTTATTTTTAAAAACAGTAACTTATCAATGATTACCATGCTGGGGTGTCAGGTGAGAACAAAGAGGACAAAAAAATTTCACATTTCTGTTTAGACTTTGTACACATTCATTGTGTTATTGTCTTCTTGAGGTTTTTTAGCTAGAGGATCATCAGATGCACTGCTGATCTCCCCATCCAGCTAACATAGTACAGCATAAACATAAAATAAACATACAAACACAAACTCAAAACACACAAAAACAACAAAAACCCAACACAAAAACACACAAGAATGCCACTGACTCCTGTTCCCCTTCAGAACTGCTCAAAATGAGCAGAGGACATCATTTGTACACTCATGTGTTAAGAATTTTTTCATGTGGGTGAACGCCAGCATGGTTTGTTATGTGAGTTTTGGGGTGAACATCCACATTTAATATGCAGATTGTTTGTTATGTGGATTGTTCATTATGAGGGGCATGGGGACCCACTGTACATGCAATATTTTTTTTAGCCATTAGTATCTTTAAATATTATCTATGTTACTTGGCTCTTGTAGCATAATTAATACAATTTAGGCCTACCAGATAAAATATTATTTGTAAATTTAAATTTTCTCCATTTATAACTTGTGATTATTTATATCCCAATAATCACTGTAAATAAACAAGTTATACCAGATTTAACCATGATAAATCACCTATATGTTTTTCCAGCCAAGTGAATATTGCATCTGACTGCTTCAAAGTGTCCAGTTGTCGGTGAGAAATAGAATTTGGGCTCCCCATCTTGTGAAAATTCATCAAAAACCCCCCACCGAAAGTGGGCCCATTCATGAACAAATAATCTACCTGTTGTACCAAAAGAAAAAAAACATTAGCACAGGTAATTATTCATAACATATTTGTCACTCTTCAAACATTTTACTTGGAAAGGGATTCTAAAAATATCTACACATTTTTTTTTCTCATTGAGATTTAGACGAAAAATTCCTTCAACATGTTTAATTTGAATTTTCAATATGTCTAACTTCTGTTATTGTGTTTGCAATATGCAAGGGAAGTCAAAATGCACAACCCCAACCTGTGCATACCTGGAGGACCATAAGCTTCTCTGCCCTTTGTTCCAAATACATCAGTGAAAATATTAATTCTAACTCCTGAAATGCCACAACCTCCATATGTCTGCGTGTATGAACCAGAGGATGGAACTGTATTGGGTGTTATACTTCTTTTGCTGCGGAATGAGATTGGATCTGAGGATGATAAGGATTATGGCTTGTCATTCATAAATAACGGTGAAGACAAGTTCAGTTAAATCTTGCAGTTGTAAAAGATTATTTATTTAACAAATTAACCACCTAATTTTAAAAAAATAAAATTGAACAACTCACTTATATAGGCTATTTATTAATGATGATAAAGATTTTATAAGTGATTTAAAACATTATGTATTATTTTGGATAACTTATTTCCACAGTATTGAGTATTAGCTACTTAGTGAAAAGTGCTAAATTTTCGTTAAATGTAAGCCTACTGAACTCTTAGAATTATCAGATCATATCATTACAACAAGTTATAGACCCTACTCTGGACAATCACATCAGCATTCTTGTAAAGCTCCGATCTTGAAGATGACCAGGCGGAGTTGCTTGACCAAGTTTTAGGTATTAGGATAGTCACCTGACTAAAGTAGGCCCTCTTCTCAGTAGCTGTATACAAGTAAGATGAGGCTTCTTCCAGCATGGTCTAAAATTGTAGCAAACATAGCAATGACAAAAAATGCGGTAAGTCTAATTTAACACACACACACAATCTCTAACATTTTCAAAAATATGTTAACTTAGCATCATTTCAAATTTAAGACAAAATTAATGTTAAGAGAAAATGTGTACTTTCCTTTAAAGTAATGCTCATATTTTATGGTTATTTGTTGTTAAAATTAAAATTAATTAAAATTTGTTGCTATGCTACTTTGTAGAAGTGTATAAGATCATATGACACTTTTTAAATGCAATACTCAGTTATTTGAATTTACTTTTTTTTAAGTTATCATGTGAGTTTGGTAAATTTCATTTTAATTTATTATAGTATAGTATATGCAAATTACTATTTTTTATACAACAGTATTTTGATTGGTATTGGTGATGCTTGTAAAAGCTTGTAAGTATATAGTAAAAAATCTTAGGTAAAGATCCTAGAGTCTGTGCCTTTTTTAAATAACCCTTTTGGTTTTTTTTTTTGGTTTTTTACATTGCTGCAATTTTTATAGTAATTGATCTCGTCTCTTAAATTCTAAATTCCAAGTTACCTATAAACTTTTTGGAATACCATTGTACATTATAACTGGATTAACTTGGGGAAACTTACATCTGTTTCAGTCATTAAATTGTATTTTATCAGCACCATGAACAGTTGCACGTTAGATTTTCCATATCTTTAAGTTAAAGAGTAACAAAATTCAAATATTGCTGACCTTTGTTTCGTTTAATAACTTCTCATTTTCTTCCACTGATGGATGTATGGCAACCAGCAACCCTTTGTAACCATTGTTGTTGATGGTGATGGCAGTTGGGCGTGTGACAGCTACAACGCTATTCAGACCAAAAACCCAACAGAAAACACACAACAATGCTGTTTTGAAGCAATGCATGTCTGATGTCAGATGTAACACAATCCTCTTAATTATGTAAGGTTTTCAAGACTCATCACTGGATGATAACAGAACATATTGTATCCCGACATCATGATTGAATATGTTTTAGAGCTTAAACTTTTTTGTATTCAAGTATTAACCCCTTAAATAAAAATATTTAAACTTTTCATTTTACACAGACTATTTACAAGCACAAGAATAAACAATATCGCAATGCTATTCCTCAACTGCCAGTGCACTATCCAGTAAAGTGAATTCAACGGTAGACAACATTAAAATGTTATCAGCTAAACGGATCATAATCTTGAGCTGACTAAGAGCCAGAGATAGAATTGCTTGGTTGCTTAACAGATAACCTACTTTGAGATTACTGTTACCAATGGCTCTTTAAATTGTGTTACATTTCAATACACTGCAATGGCTTACTTCTCAGTCACGTGTAGATATATAACTTAGTAGCAAATTGTATTGTTAAAAAATGGTTATTTGCTAATGGCTGTGTAAATTACTGTGATTAGTGTCAAAATAAAATGACCTGATTATGACCTTTAGGTAGATTCATGCCTGATCATTTTCATCAGAATGAAACTTAGCATAGCAAGAGATTTGAAAATTATTTTACAGCAAGAGATAGGAGTTGGGAAGAATACAGGTAAAGAGATGGAATGATTTAAAGGAATAAGATAATAAGGGAGAGAGAGAATGGATATATATATATAAAAAGAAAAGACTGTGGTAAAATAGACCAAATCTAAATTATAAAATAAGGCATTCAACTGCATTGATATAGACTAAAACAGACACTTGAAAGGGATTAATTGGTCATATTGACTTATCTTATTACCAGAGGAACCCAGTAATCCCATGGTCATCTCAAGGTGCCGATGTAAGCCACTGATTATTCTGTCATATTCACTTATCTGGTTCCTGTAGTAAGTCAGTGATTTTTTTTATCAAAATTATTTGCCTAGCTACTGGAGATTACTTAATCTGGAATAAATATTGCTTTTTTGATCCAACTTGAAGAAATGTGATAGACTTTGTGCTTTGATGTGACAGTGATGGACTTGGTGCTTTGAAAGTCTCCTTTAATATTATAGTGATGGACTTGGTACTTTGAAAACTATTTTGATATGATATGATGGAGTTCGTGCTTTGAAAGCCTCCTTACTCCTTTGTCACAGAACACTCACTTATCTCTGTGTAAAACATTAAACTAAACAAGTGGGTCTAACAGATGTAGTTGTGTGTAATATACTGCCTCATCACAGTCAGATACAAACATAAAAGTAAAACCACTGGGTCTAACAGATGGTGGTGGGTGTATTGTACTGCCCAATCACAGTGACATAGTTTGCACTGAATCATAAAGCAGTTTTGCCCAATCACAGTGACATAGTTTGCACTGAATCATAAAGCAGTTTTGCCTAGACACAGTCATATAGTTTGCACTTAATCATAAAGCAGTTTTGACTTGACGCAGGTAAAATATAAAAATACATATTGAGAAATTTTTAAAAAAAAATTCATACACACACGCAAAAGATTTTTATAAATCATAACCCAATCTAAAAAAAAGGAATTTTTAAAATATTTTTTCTTAGTATTTGAAAAGATATCAAAATAAGAGCAAGTAACAAAGAAATCAGGGTTGTTAAAATTTATTGACATGGCTATGATTTTTTAAAATTTGAACTCAAAACTTGAAACTGTAATCTGGTCCACCCTGAGGAAATAAAAATATTTCTAAAAGTAAAAATACTATTTTAATTAGTTTCGGTAAATACTTATTGCAAAAGGTTAGAGGTTAACATCTATCTACTAAGTTTTTAATTAGTAACCCCCTTTTTAAAATAATAAAATTTAACCTTATGTAAACAAAATGCCTGATTTGTAATGTAAGTGTAGGCAATGGAGTGTAATTGTAGGCAATGGAGTGTAAGTGTAGGTAATGGAGTGTAAGTGTAGGCAATGGAGTGTAAGTGTAGGCATTGGAACAATGATAAAGTAATCAATCGCACTAATCTTATATTTAAAACAAAAATGATAAATGATTATGTTTGTGATGAAAAAAAAAACAATGAGTTTTTTTTATTTGTAACGTAGATGACTAAAAATGATGAGAGGAAGAAAGAATTAATCATACCTCATCATGTTGAGGTTTTCATGCAGCCATAAGAGTACTCTGCAAAGTAGGAATCCATTAACAAATTGTCTAACCTTTGAAGGTGGCGTTCTGAAAAAAAAAAAAAAACAATATGAATTAACAGAGAGGCACATACTGAAACTATGGACATTAAACCTCGAAAGTAACAATTTCTTTTTAATGAAAATGGTTTAAGTCTCATAAAACTGTAGAGTTATTCATGAAGTTGTTGTTTTCATTTAAGTAATGAAATATGAGATGCTTTTTTTATGATATGGATTAGTTACAGCCTTACCTGCGTAGACTGTCAATACCTTGTTTATGGATTTGTTGTAACCTTCCCTGTGTAGCCTGTTAATCTCTAGTTAATGGATCTGTTGCATGCTTACCTGTGTAGACTGAATCCCTTGTTCATGGATTAACTTTTGCATCCTTACCTGTGTAGACATTGTAATCCCTTGTTTATGGACTAGTTACACCCTTAACTGTGAATATTGTTGACACCATGGCTAAAGATAATTTACACCCTTACCTGTGTAAACTGTGAATCCCTCTACTAGAGACTGTATGCTGGAGAATGCGACCAAGTCTTGAGGTAGGAAGTTCTTGAGAATAAGGTTCAGGAGTTGTTGGGCTGGGTAATAATTTCTACTGTTGGTGTTCCATTCCACAGCAAACTTCAGGACAGATTCTAATGTGGTGATATAATTTTAGGAAACCATACAGTCATCAGCATTAGAACATACAGTCATCAGCATTAGACAAGAATATGGTAATAAAGTCTATAGCAAACATAAGGTAAAAAATTTATTGCAAAACTATGGTAATACAAATTTAGGTAAACATTTGATAATACATTTTTACTGGAAACTGTTAAAAAAAAAAGTCTATGGGGAAAATATATAGAATCATAAGCTTCGGGTGGATCCACCAGCTGCGAACAAAATGTGTGTACGAATTTTTAAAGTTTGATATTACGACATAAATGGTTTCAGATTCTACGACTGCAATACCTTATGTGTACTTAAAAAAAATATTGTACATACCTCTCTACCCATATGCAGCCTTTAGCAATATCTCCTACACCAACCCCCCCCTCCCACCCACCCCCCACTGGCCAACACAATATGTGAATGACCATTTACATATTTCTTATAAAGAAATGAAAAACTTTTAAAAAAGCTATTTACCAATTTGGTCCATCCTTAGTTTACATATCAACCTTTCCAATTTCTTCTCTCCATCTTCTTGTTTAATTACCTCTATAAGAAGAGAAAAGATATCAATGCATCTACTGCAGTGACTCAATAATCCTTCAAACAAAATTAAGGCATTTGACAATTAAATGCTAAAACTTTATAAAACATTTGATTCAGATTATTTATCTGTTAACATGATTTCCTTCAAGATTGAAAGAAGTTACAATCAGAATAGTTTAATTACGTATAAAATGTACAGAAAAATGTGCTGAAACCTTTCAAAATGTTCAATGCTCTGTAAGGTTTGTTGAGTGAGATAGCCAGGCCCATTGCTCTCACAAACTTTTTGTCAGCTATCAAATTTGATAAAATCTGCTCTCTGGAAGATATACAATGAAAACAGTATTAGTTGTTATAAAAAAAAAAATAATATTGGGGGGGGGGGGGGGGAATAAATGTGTGTAAGATAAAATTTTAATGTTTGGTGATGAAATGACATGTGCTGGTGTTCTGAATCTCATTTACTTTTCCAGACCACTTTTACTTACTGTAAGACTTGTTTTTGGTGCTTCTCTTGTTTCTCTGTCTCTTCTTCTTGAGTTACATCCTGAAATATTGATATCAAATATAAATCTGCACACATTTCTTATGTAAACTAAATCACTAGAGCATACAAAATAACAATAATGGGCCAAGGACAACTGCAATATAATGTTACCCAAGAAACCCAACATCATAAGACCAAAGTCTTTTATTACACTGCATGTCTTAGCAAGTTTTGTAAAGTATTTGATAGATTTATTCACAGAAGCACTTCATTAACGTTCTGTTTACCAAGTCCAAGTATTTGAGGCTATCCAATTCGGTTCAATTTAACCATGAATCTATCATTTGAATCCTATTTTCATAAATAGCTTAGGCTATTGCTCTGTTTCTGGAAATCATTTTTGACAATCAAGTGAGCATACTTCTAAGCTAACAAATGCATAGGTTAAATAGCAGGTTACAAAATGTCTTCTTTTAATAATATATTGTGTTCTAACATATGTGTGAATGATGAAGATATCTGTAAAATTATGCTAAAAGCAAACTTGTTTGAAATATTTGCTCACCTTCCAAAACACAAGGGTTGAGTCTGCACCACCAGAAATAACATAATCCTCTGCAGCTGTGGTAGCCACTGCCCAAACCTTGGCATCATGACTATCAAAGGTTTTCATACACTCACTGGTTTTGATTAGCCATAATTTTAACAAGCCATCGGAGCCACTGAAAGACACCAGTCTTAAGATTGAGACTCACAAAGGACAATGACCATTCAACAAATGAAACATCTCACTACAGTCACATTATTTGAAAGATCAGTATTTTAAAAATTGCAATCCAATTCAAATAAGGCTAGGGGTAATAAGGGGAGAGACTGCAATCAGGTTAGCACAAAATAAAATGAGTAAAACAGAGTAGGGTTAAACCTGAAAAAATAAACGCAACAAAACAGTGAACGTGTCGGCAGAAAGCCTTCGTCAGCGAACAAAACAACAGAAAAAAACGGTTTACAAATAAAAATAAGAAATAGCACTTAGCTGGTAAAAAGTGTCTGTGGGCAGCAATAGAAGTGTGCTTTCTGCCGACACGTTCGCTGTTTTGTTGCGTTTATTTTTTCAGGTTTAACCCTACTTTGTTTTACTCATTTTATTTTAAAATAAGGCTAAAACCGAATGATATGGGGAGACGCAATAGTTGAATGGAAAAATTTACCTAGAAATGATTTGTTTGCCATGTGATATGAACGTAAAAGAAAGCACAGAACTGTCATGACCTTCTAAAGTCTGAAAAGATAAGAAATGAATTTTTAATGCTACATTTCTCAACCAAAAGTAAAATATTTTTTTAACGTTTCCTTTCGGAACTCTATCAATTAGTTAGTAGGACATCCAGAAATGTTTACTTAGTTGAGCAATCAAGCTCAGACAGAGCGCTGTTTTAGATGTAGTATTGCATATTTCATTTAATTCTAAATCAATTTTGAAATGTATTATTACAAGCCCTTGAATTTAGTATAGATAGGTTCCATATACTATGTCCAGGGGAGAGAATTTACACATTATGTACATTCCAAGGGTGGACTATTAAATGGAACATTTTTATGAACTGGTTTTTTTTTTTTGGATGCACTGAGAGATTAACAGTAAGGTATCAATCAACAATAACAAATTAACTAAATTAAATTGAGAAATATTATATAATGAAACCTTGGTGTAATAAATGATTAGATGAAATCACTCAATTTTAGGATGGTAAGGAAAGATTAACAATGGTTCCTCTAAATGACATGCACAATTAATATATTCACCAGTTTCTCATTCCAATGATGAATAAACTAAATGAAATTATTAAGTACCATACTCTAATAATAAACAACGACGGAGAATATCTGAATAATGGATGACCGAGAATACAAGAACAGAGACAAATTACAGAGAGTAAAATGACTGAGAAGAATTTGAAAATAATAATGCAAATGAAGAGAAATTAATGAGGATACAACGTTTAAAACAGTCACAACTTTATAAATAAATATATATGGAAGATTCCACACAGGAAATATCTAAGCTCTTGTCATGTGTCATTATACATTCTGGGTGATTCCACATAAAAGGTCAAACCTTATAGAAGGAGAAGACATCTGCCCCCTCTCTTTATACTAATCTCCCTTGAACAGCTAAATGATTTGGTCTGCATATTTCCTCAGCTGGCAAATGGACAATGTGCAAGTAGATTAAAATTATCCTAGTTCAGAGACTTACCCTAACACAGGAGTAGTCTGTGACACTCCATAACTTGATATAACCATCACCAGAGCCTGTGGCCACTATCTGGGAACATATTTTTTTATCTAATGCAATAAAATCTACTTTATAAGCAATCATATTAAATAATAAAACAAACAGCTTCAGTCTACACAGGTTGTTGTTTTACATAGATTTAACCCACGAACTGTGATCGGCCGATAAAAAACATGGTCAGATAGCAACTTCCAATACAATATTTTACCAGAATTTGGCCATTTCCTTTTATTAATAACTAAATCATCTTCCGGGTCAAGCTGTTTGTTGATAACTTAACAATAAGTACTTTTTAAACAGAGTTTTACTTCTCTGTTCATTGACCCAGTTTGCTTTTATAGCTGAAATGGATGAGGCTATGGCTGGGCCTTCGGTTAAAAGTAAAAGAAATAATTTTGAAAGCTTTTTAGAGAGGATTTAAGTGATACTGATGATGATTTTAACATTCCCAATGACGATCTCAGGTCTCATTCTTCTTATAGTGAAACTGATACTAGACCTAGTGATACTAAAGTAGGCCTACTGTTAGACTTCGAGCCAGGCCCGGAGGTTGGGCAAGGACTGACTGAATTTTAGTCACAGAAGCTACAGATTATAGATCAGAACTAAGAAATTTTATAGTTGTACAACCCAAATCAGTTCCACAGTTCCTTTTTAAATGTTTACTTGTCAATAATAACTTTTTTGCCTGAGATTGTATATGTTGTACTTGGTTTAAGTTTTAGCTGTGGTCCCAGTTTATTATTTTTTTCTGTAATAAATGACCTAAAATTATTAAAATTGCTTTCCGAGGCTTAATTGTATAAAAAACCTTAACAAACTATACATTTTCTGAGAGATAAATAAATTAGCTACCACATTTACACAAGTATTTTAATGGAATCTATAAAAATTAATGATGTAATGAGCAATTTAAAGCAAGACATTTTGTCGATTTCTTTCTTTCTTGAGCACTCCAAAGGCAAGGACACTGAACAAATGTTTTTTACGGGATGGGCAATATAGCCAACTTTATCCACATCCAATTACCTTTCCAAAATATATACTTATTGGGGTCTTGTATCAATATTTATATGTCATTTAATGCTATTTCAAAAGGCACAGAAAAAGCTCTGAAAATCTCCTACACAACAGAATGATTCTGTGCCACAGTTCGTGGTTTAAAATTGCATAGTACAAATGGGAAACATTCCTCCAAGTAAAAAATCAAGGGAAGAAATCTCTTACTGAACTAATAATATGACAAACCTGGTCAACTGGTGAAAACTTGACACACCAAATTCCTCGCTTGTGTCCTCGCAGCACTGCAATCAGAGTGATAGAGTGAAGGCCGTCTCCAACACTCCAAAGCTGGATTAATTTTTAAAAAACACATTATCAAATGCTTATTGCAGTAGTTGAATGTGGCGTGGCATTAGTGGTGAGATGTCAGTTATTATGGACAATTAGTGAAATTGTTTTAGATTTGCTCCTCAGATTGTGTAGGGTGGAAGAAATGTAGTTAGTGCCATGGGCCATGCCCAGACCTGTTTACCCTCAAACTCTTAAAATCGTACAATATCATCACAAAGTCATTTAATACGTTATATTCATAGTAAAAAAAACATACATTATATACAATCTATACACTTCAAAATCATACATTTTACGCCAAAATCGTAAGAGTAAACAGGTCTGGCCATGCCTGGATCGGGAGATCCACGTTGGTATTTTCCCTTAAATATACTATACAAATTTGTAAAATGTTTTAAAATGTTTGATTTTTGCGCTGCGTTAGGTTGTTCATGGATGTCTTTCCTGTCTGCTGTGCTAAGGTGGATTTGCTGATTAGATGAGAACATTAATCCATCCCTGTGGCGCTACAGCCCATGTAGGGCTTTGGCCTGCCTCAACACTTCTTTCCACATTAAGTTGAGTATTAATTTACTTGGCGCCAATTGTTGTGAAATGGATCATTATTGAGTAATCGTTCCTAGACCAAGATGGGCAACCTTTTCCCAATTTAGCCACAGTTGTGGCAAATGAAAAGTACAATTTTTCACACCATACATAAATCATAAAACACTACTTTTAAATCAAATGAGAGCTCACTCTTTCCATGCCAGGGGGGTTTTCCACGTTCCTGCCAGACCAGTTTTCGGCTAATGGAAATTTTTTTTGAGTGCACTTATCTATTAATTAATTTTGAATACATTTCTTTAGCAAGATAGCTGTATTTCATATCAAAATTAAAGGAAACTAGACAGAGAACAATAATATGCAACAGATAAAACAATATGACAACAATAGTTTAAATTTTTCTGGTAATATTATGAGATTAAATTTTTTTTTTTTAATGTGCACCAAATCTGAACTTACGAGACTACCATTTGGTCTGTATAGCTGGTATTCTATTCTACTTCAATCCTCAGAAAGTATATCCATCTTTGATCAGAATGGATTTTACATTTTGAAAATATTCCATTTAAAGACAGAGTTATACCCATTTTTGTAACGTCTGGAGTAGTATTATCTGAAAACTCACTGTTGCCATAGTAACAAAGTGGTTTTGAAAAAATTCATAACTTTTGAACCACTTGAGCTAGAAAGTTTATCTGGGTGTTTTTTTAAATCCATTCTCTAGGCTCTATACATCCGTGGTATCTTTATATTTTTTAAAATGTTTTGAAATTTTTATGAAAGTGCTGACAGTCACCACTATTACTATTGCCATTCTATTACTATTTCCATTTGTCATTTACCAACCCATCGAAAAGCTGAAAATTATTGCTGGAATCAGATTCAAATGATTCATCATTATTTTCTGATGTTTCAGCATCAATAATTAGCAATAAAAGTTCTTTTGTTGTAAACTTGACTACCTACACGGTCTAGCAATAGCTGATGTGCTTGGAGTAGGCGTGGCCATTGCTTTGTTTACAAAAGTTTCAACACGATTGAACTATTATAAGAAAAAACACATTTATACAAGCCCTACTTCTAAGAGGCAGGAAGTAGGAAGAGTTATCCTTGGTTTACGAACATAAAAAGTCGGATTAATAGACGCAGGCAACGAAATAAAAATACATTACTTATTTCTACGCTATAATCGTGGCTTGGCACAAACGTGACCAGTCAAATCGACGATATACCATGGCTGGGCACGGAAAGAGTTAATGCTACCAAAGTATTCTGCTATTTTTTTTATCTATTTCAAGCAAGTTTAAATTTTAAAAATCATATCAGAGATGTCTTAAAACTAAACACCTAAATTGCAAAATTTACTCTTTACGAATAACAGAGCTATGCTATTAATAATAATCACTGCTTAATCTCGAATTTAAATCCTTCAGATCTTTTGTTGTTAATGCTCTGATATAAATGCAAAATTTAAAGAAAGAGTTGAAATAATTTTCAATAAAAAATCAACTTGCACATTCCAGTTTTTGTGACAAGTTTAACAATTAAATGATCAAAGCTACCTTAGCTGTTTTATCTTGAGATCCTGTTGCTATGACTTTGTCATTGGGAGCTACAGCCAGGCAGTTGATGTCCTTGTCATGGGCATGCTCTGTTGCTGCCACGCGAAGTGTTGTCATTGGTATGACGTCTGAATCACCAGGGAATCTCCAGACTTTCAGTGTCATGTCAATACCTCCAGACAGGATAAAAGCTGGCTGTGCAGATGACCTATCATCGCAGGATGTTCAAGAGAAAACATTTCTTACAATAAAATGTGAACAATGTAAATTTCATTGATAGTTTAAATTTAAGGTATTTTTTTAAAAAGTGGCACAGAAAAGCTACTTTACTGTTCTAACATTTTTGTAAGTGAAGGGAGAAAGAAAACATTTTAGACATAAAATTGGATGATATGATTCCCTGTCAATATAATATGATTCACTGTCAACATATGATTCACTGTCAACATATGATTCATGGTCAACATGCTTTAATTCACTGTCAACATGCTATGATTCACTGTCAACATGCTATGATTCACTGTCAACATGATATGATTCACTGCCAACATGATGTGATTCACTGTCAACATCATATGATTCAGTGTCAACATGCGCCAGCCATACTTTAAAAAAATTACATGCAACCTTTATACATGACAATAAAAATTAAGCTTTGGTGGGAACATTCAGAGAAAAAAAATGTGTTAATTCTTTGTCAAAGTGGCTAAATTTGGTTAATAAACAGCCATGCTAAAAACATTCTGCTCATTGAAATGAGTCAAATCATTAAGTTCTGAATCTCACAGATGGTTAATTTTACTTGATAAAAAATAAAAATAAATCCTAGTGGATTAAAATTCAAACTCACCTGGCCAATGCAACACACTGGACAGCTTGTGTATGGCCTTGACCCACTGCTACACAAGTTACAAATCCTGTATCAGGTGACAACTGCCAGATACGAATGCTGGAGTCCTGGGATAAGTACACAAAGACAAAAACAATGAAACCATCGATAACATGGAAATACCTTTAAAAAAAGATTTAAAAGATACATCTGATAATAATATGAAACTTCATTAACTTTTCTCATGTCTACAGACCTGTTTACCCAGCAACTCCAAAAATAGTACAATTCCATCTCAAAATAGTACAATTCCGTCTTAAAATAGTACAATACTGTCTCAGAATAGTACAATACTGAACAAAATAGTAACATGGTAGCAGTAAAAAAAAGTACATACTTTAACTGAGTATACACTTTATAAATAATTTAAATAGCTTTTGTTATCGATGAAGCTTGCTATTTATCAATAAAAAGAAACAAATGTGAACAAAGTCAATCAAAATTTTATGTAAATCATACAGTTTTATGTATACTGATACTGATAGAATTTTTAGATATTTACACAATTTTTTATTCATATTTCTTCAGTGAGTTGTAGTATGAGCTTTTAAGCTGCTGGAGTTCTTTTGCGCTGAATTTTTCATCCACGTCCAAGCAGCTTCCCGATTTTCCCTTAAGGACTAACAAAGCCTCTGTTGTTTCTTGTGCTAATGTTGTTCTTTGGTCTGTGCATGTTTTTCGCACCATAGAGAATATTCTCTCACAGGCAGCACTGGAGTGAGGTATGGTGAGGATCCCTTTCACTACATGGGCAAGATTCTTAAGGGATGGGTGCTTTTGGCTAATTGTTTGCCAAATCCTGTCAACTCTTACCCCATCCTCATCACAATCATCAATGTTCATCTGCTGATACCTAGCAAACTCTTCATAGATGGTGTCAACATCAGTCCCGCTGGGGATCAGAACAGGGAATCTGGTAAGGAAGTATTCCAACTGATGTTGTTTAACCTCCAATCTCCTTTTTGGATCCACTACAGAGGCATTCTGAAGTACAGGATCTGCTAGGGGAAGTTTTTTTAGTAAGTAGTCAAGCACCATCTCAAAATATTTGCGAACAGAAGCATAAAACTCTACAATCCTCTTGTCTCTGAGGCTGTACTTTTCTTTGTTTTCCAGCATGGTCTTTGCCTGGGATCCAATAAGCAGGTCAGCATCATCTTTCTGACTGCTTCTTAGCTTGTATTGGACCTGAAAGAGAAAAAAAAAAAAGATAATAAAATAGTACTGTAGGTATCATGATAAACCATGTAAATGATAATTTATAACAAATGAAATGTATTCAATTTGTCAAACTACAACATAAATGCATACATTTACATAATCAAAGCTCACCTTGTCAATGTCAATACCATTAACTGCTGTGGGCAAGAGAAATCTGCTGTACAAGTCACCAATCAGGCTGTAGAGGTTCTCCTTTAGCGTATGGATCATTGGTTTTTCTGCCTGTAGTTGGACAAGTACCTATAAAAATAACCATGTGTCATAAAAATGAACAATTAGTACTACCGGTATTAAGTACAACGGTATAGTAAATTATACAAAATTACTATGGTCCATTAAAGAAAACTTTGCACTAAAGAAAATGAATTGTAAGAAAATATTGCGGATCTAATGAAATGAGAGCAAAATTATGCACCCTTCAAGACTCATGAAATGCAAGAATTCATCTCACCTGATCATACACTTTCAGTGTGTAAGACAAGAAATGGCAGAAAAGTCTATTTGTTGGTGACCGCAAAAATTCATAAATGGCATCAACTTTCTTCACAGAGTAAGTTGTGCAATGTCCTTCCAACTCAGCAGTCGTCTGAACATCATTTGGTTTCTTATTTGGTTTGGAATTTTTATATTTTTCTTCATGAAAGAAGTGCATCAAGGGGTCCCAATTTTCAATCAATCTTTTCAAGCATCGTGCAATACTAAGCCATCTGGTGCAGACATGTTTAATAATTTTCATCTGTTCTGCATCATACAGGACTTGCAGATTCTTCAATTCACTTTGTCTCTTCACACTTTTCTTGAAGAAGTAAAAAATGTCAACCAGCACCTCCTCAACTGGGGGTAGACAGGATGCCCCCTTTTTAGCTGCAAGATGCACCAGATGGAGGCAGCATCTTGCCAGATAAATGCTGTCTTGCTCTCTTTTAATGAAACTGTATACTCCATTGTATTGGCCAGTCATCACATTGGCATTGTCACAGCCAAATGCAATGCAGTTTACCCATGAAATGCCCTGTGAATGCAATTCATCCGCCATGGTCTTAAATATATTCTGTCCTGTGGCCGAGGACTCTTTGCACACCGGCAAAGCTAGGAGATGAGAATTTACAAGGCCATCCTCTCCCTCAATGGTGACAACTAGAGGGAACTGCTTTTTGTCTGAGTCGTTACTACCATCAGTGGCAATACTGAATGGCAATCTCTGCATTCTAATGGCTAATTTATTCATAGTCATTGCAGACATTTCTAAAATCATAGCTGTTGCTTTATTTCTCCCACATTTTATATCTGAAATTAATAAATGAAAATAATAAATATATTGATGACAATATCTGGTACAATAAAATAATTATCCCAATGGCACAAATCATCTTTAAAACTGTACTAATAAATTTTCTCTTTTTCATTTTATAAACCATTATTAGGTAGACTTTTGTAAAGTATCGGCTTAATTTTAAACAAATAAAAAATGTGTTTACTTTTTATATTAGCCTACATATATTTTTTTTATTTTAAACACTATAACTTTATATATATATATATATATATGGCACTAAGCTATAGTGTGAAAAGCTGTTAAATAAAAGACCATCTATTCATTCATAATAAGATTCAAGCTGGCTCACATGGTCCATAAATAGTTTAAATAATAATAATTACATTAATAGTTAAAGAAAAAGGCCGACTTACTTGCTGCAATTTTGGAATCTGGGAACATTTTAACAAATGCCTTAGAAAGAGTATCAGCCGCAGAAAGCGAAAGATTGAGTTCTGGAATTAAGCTACACATCAGAGCTTCTGCGCGAGTTACTTGATCTTGGAAATGAGATTTTGAATTTAATCTTTGACAAAAAGATGTCAAGGTTGTACTTTGACTCAGTGCTTCTTTAGAGGACTTATGGGCTTTGGTTTCATAATGTTTTTTGCAATCGTTTTGGCCGCCATGTGCTACTGAAAAGTCCGACTTGCAGATTGTGCAGTGCGCGTATGATGGACCCTTCGATGAAGAACGCAACTCAGTAAATTTTGTCTGATATTCACGCAAGAATATTTGCTGATAAACTTTCTTTTTCTTTGGTTGAATCTGATGTGCATCGGTAGAAGTTTCTTCTTCATCATCGGTTTCGTGTAACTTTCTTTTTGTCGAGGACATGTCGTAATATAGGCCTACTAACTAGTACACTAAACTACGGTACTGTACCGGAAACAAAAAGGAGCGCCAATTCCATTAATAGAAACATTAAAACCACGCAATTTTCACGTCCGTCAATGCAGCCAGATTAGACGCCAGGGCTGTTTGGACAATGGGACATCCATATATAATATATAACATACACAGTGCTCAGTACGCAAAATAACAACACACTGTAGTCCACCAAGACGTCCTTCTGTGCTGGTGACGTAGTTATTTCGCTCGGTAGAAACAACCGTTCCCCACCCTCATTAATGGGTAAAAAAAAAACATTGTACTATCCCATATCCAACAGGCGCTTGATTTTTCAAGTTAACATAGCCTGCCTAATAACTACCGCAAGCTGTATTCACAGGGGCGGGTAGGAGTAGTGATACCAAACTGACTGTTGCATTAAAATCACTTAGGGGATAGAGCTGCTTTGAGTTCTAAAAATATTTATTAAATACCACTAGATCTTATAAAATATGTCCAACGTTCGCCCTGTGCGAAGCACCCGTTCGATGCCCCCCTTCCCCGTATGGCTCCGATCTTTTTCCGATTAGGTCGTAGGCTATGGAGCACGTGTTATGATGCTATACATAGACCGTTTCTCGACCCCGGAACCAAGGTTCAAACTTCACTATAATGAGCTAAGTGAATTTCAATAATTTCTGGGTGCCCTAGGCGTCCCTCTTGGGTCACGGCGCCCTGTGCCAGGGCACAGGTCGAACACCTTAAGGTCGGCGTTGCTCTCTAGTTTCCTCCGTTTTTACAATCGCCGCGGTTTAGACGATTATGTAACAAAACTACATCAAACGCTTAGTAGCATGGTGAGTGAAGCTGTCGCTAGGCGACTAGTCTAATTATTACTGTTGACACAGCTAGCTAGTTCACTGAGACACAAAGCAACACTATGAGAATCATCACCCTCAATACGATACATTGCGGTGCTATTTTTATAGCCTTTGACATTCCCACCAACACCCCCCCCCCTTTTTTTCACCATGCCAGACCTGTTTACCCCCAAACTCCTAAAATCGTACAATATGGTCTCAAAATCGTACAATGCAGTATTTTGATATTAAATAAATAAAAATACAGTATATATAATGTATACAATAACTACTCCTATAGCGTGTTCAGTGGAATCGAGCTGAGCTGGCGTCAAAATATGGAACTGTAGGTAAACAGTAGATGACTGACGTTAACGGCAAACTGCGGTCACTTTGTTTAGCAGACGTGTATCGGCTAATACAATCATTCACTGCCTGATCTTTATTAAAAAGGGCTAAAACTTCCACAAAAAAAGAAAAAATAATAATTTTTTAATCGGAAAAAATTACCCCAATAATTTTTTTACCGGGTCTCTGAAAATCGTAGTTTTGGCGGGTCTCGGCGTACAATCGTAAAAGACATTAAAAATCGTACATTGTACGCCAAAATCGTAAGAGTAAACAGGTCTGTGTCTATACTATTAGAATTCGTATACAAAAATAATTAAATCTGATAAAATTTACAAATTAACCTTGGATCCAGAAACAATATAATTGCCCTTGACATCAAGACTTGTAATGATATCCGAGTGACCTTGTAACATTTGACACTCCCATGAGTCCCTGTTGAAGACTTTCAGAAGATCAGTGTTGGTTGCAACAGCCACATGGGTGTCCTCACCCAGAAAATGCAGTGACAGGATTTCATCTAAATGACCACAGAGCTAGTTGAAATGATAAAAATAACACAAAGTTTTGCTTAATAAAACATAATGCAATTTCATTTGTCTTGGTATTCACATTATAGAAAGTTCTTCCCTTTATTCCTATTTAATGTTCACATGTCCATTAATTCTTAAGCCCTTAAACAAAATCTCAAAGGTGCTATCTAAATTGTATGCTTCTAAACATAATAAAAGAGAAAAGAACTATAAACCCTTGACAGTCTCCATAAATATAGGATGGCAAATATACATAACCACTGCTTCATATCAATGTCAATATTTTATAACTTAAATTTCACTCATACCTGTTTCTCACTGGTAAAATCTTTACTCAGCTGGACTATATTTTCATCATAGGTAGCCAATACAATGCCGTTTAGGTCAGTAGAGTAAAGTGCTTGTGTGATGTATGAATCTGTGCTCTTACTGTCCACCTCTGGGTCACTCAACCGACAGCTGTTGGAGTACTCACGTTTACCAGTCTCCACGTTGATTACCCTAACTTCACCTGCAATAATAAATATCATTTTTTACAACGCAGTGAATCAGATTTCAATAATATGATATGATCAACCCAGGCAGGCATATTGTAAAGATATCTTTTTAAGCTAGCTACCAACAAAAAACTTTTCAACTCAAAGAATTGCAATTTGATTTTAGCTGGAGTATCAAGCAAAAAAGGTTGTATTGGTAATAAAAAGAACTTGTTTAAACTATGCAAAAAGCAAAGCAAATCACTTCTATCAAGAGTAATGCCTTTTTTAGAAAGATTAGTTTTAAAAAGATCTACCCTTAGAGCTGACTGTTATGAACCTAGGAGTGCCATCCTCATCAATCAAACTAGGGAACTCGAGGGGAACAAAAACAGATACAATTGACTGAAATCAGAAATACAACAGAAGATTAGTGATAGGGCATAACATGGAGAGGGCACATGTCAGTGATACTCATACTGTTTCTTTCTTTAATGTACAAACACTGGAAAATGACATGCACCTGATTTTAATTTTTAATTCTACTCTATTTATAAATGTACTGTCACAGTAAGCAAAAGTGATTAAAAAAAATAAAAAAAATTTTAAATAAGGTATCAAATATTTGTTTACAGTTGACATTTTAGTTTCTACATACAGAATTAAATATTATAGACAAAATTTAAACAATTAAACTTACTTCAAAAACAGGTATAGTTTTATATACTTTCCATTTATCAGTTTTCCATACACAAACAATATTGTCTTTTCCTGCACTGAAATAATACATATTCATTTCAGATGGAGTCTAAAACCCTATTTATTTGTTGGATGTAAAAATCAATTAATACAAGAAAGAAAAAAAAATTAGAAAATTGCATAAATTGTGTAACAGCATTGTAAGTTTGTGATTTTAAAAAAATATTTGCCATGACCATTTATATAGCCAATCTCGATAGAGCTTGTAATTGTTTTGTTTTTTTTACTATTAAAAATAAGATTTTAAAAGAGCCACTACTTACCTATACATAGTGTCTCCGTTATCAGCAAAAGCAACAGATGTAACCAGACTAGCATGACATGAGCTGGTAACAATGCAGGAGCTTGTTTTGAGATCCCACACTCTGATCATGTAATCTTCTGCAGCTGAGATCAGCTGTAGTCTTTCAGAATGTGGGTGAAAGGTCACCAACCTGTTAATTAAAAAAAAAAAATCAAACAATTAAAATTAAGCAAATAAAACCAGTGAGCTTACTTTACAAGAATGAATGGCTCGAAGAATATGAACTAAAGCATTTACCAAAGTATTTGTAAAAATACAATTGTGGAGTCAGGCTACTCATTCAAGTCTCAGGTGTTTGGTTATAAACCCTCCAAAGTCACACAGTTGTTTAGTATTGCAGATGAGACTTAATTGAAAAGGTAAAAACTTAGGAAATTTCCTATGTTTCTCAACAAACTAGGGAAAGTTCATTATTTTATCATTCATGGCCTCATTATCTCTCAGAAAATGTGTGTTCCTTTCACGCAAATTCTATTACTTTTGGCCACTTGTCATTCTTTATATATCCAAAATATCCATGATGTTTAACAAGCTCTTTAGCAGTTTATACAAAGTTGTTTCTGGGGTCCTGGTAGTAGTGTTCGTTGCTGCATCCATATACTGGGGTCATTTAATTTTATTCTCATGATACATTTCCAACAGACTGAGCCCACACACAACCCTGGGCTTTAATAGGCAGAATCTGCATTACTCAAAACTGCTGCATCAGTTTTAATTCTGGTAGCTAAAGACTCTGAAGTACCGGTACTAATTACTATGAGTTCTTGATAGAGTTTCGTAAGATAGGAAAGATTCACTTGCCTGATTACACCACTGTGACCTTTAAAGTTGTGTGTGAAGTATCCCCTAACAATGTCCCAAATTTTAATGGTAAAATCCGCACTCCCAGAAGCCAGGAGAGTCACTGTAGAATCTAAGGCTAGTGATGTCACAGGAGCATTGTGAACAGACTGTTGGAATCAAATAAAAAAAGGGACCTCTGATTAATAGATTCATTTAGGAAATCAAACTAATAGAGTTTATTAAGACTTTAAAAACAAATTCAAATTTCAACAGAGCCAAAGAACCATGTTTCAAAAATTGTAAAAGATTCTGATGCAAAGGATGCAGCATTAGGATGTTTCTTGAGAATAATGTTTATTCCCCTTTATAAAAGTATTATTTTTTTTTACAGATCTTTGGAATTATTGGCAAAAATGGAACACCTGAAACGTACCCTCCATGTCTTGACTAGAGATTTTTCTTTCCATCTCCATTGTCTGAACAGTTTATTTTGGGTTGCAAGGATTAAGTACTGTGAAAATATTAAAAAGATAAAATCATTAAAGAAAACCAAATGTATATTAACATTTAAATATTTAATCAAATTATTTTAAGGAAAATATTTTAAAAAATCTGTTTACAATATTAAATTTATGTGGTTTATGATAACAGATACATTTATATAATAAACTTACTTCATCATCTCTTGTGAGAATAAATTGAGTTATTTCTTCTTCTTCATCCTGCAAACATAACACAAGTGAATGCCATTAGGTAAAATACAAAAATACACTTATTGTTCATTGTTATTGTAATCACTTGTTTGACATTCATTCCAATCCTGTGGTGCTACAGCCCATGTAGGGATTTGGCCTGCCTCACCACTTCCTTCCACTCAGACCTAACTGATGCTTTTCTTTTCCATGCTTGGATTCCCGGCTGCTGTAGATATTTTTCCACATCATCCATTCATCTAAGCCTAGGTCTGTCTTTGAGATGTTTCCATCTGGAGTTTTGGTGGTGTACCCTCTTCACTTCTCTGCCATCCGGCATTCTTTCTAAATGTCCCACCTAGCGTAGCCTGTCCTTTTTTTTTTTATTTCTGCTACTAGTGTGGGATCCTGATATAGACTATACAATTCCCAGTTTGTTATTTTACTCCAACCATATTCTCCTATGTTGGTCCACATACATTCCGGAGAACTTTTTCTTCCAATGTGTTTAATAGGTCTTCAGCCGCTTTTGTTAGGGTTCAAATTTCACTAGAGTATGTTACAACTGGTCTGATTACAGTTTTATATACATAGATTTCTTTGTTTTTCTTGTAATGTTTTTACTTTTGAATACTTTGTGACTACTGAAGTATGCCCTGTTTCCGGATGATATTCTTTCTTTTATTTCTATAAGTAATTCATTTTTTTCATTTAATGGGGATCCTAGGTATTTGACTTGATTTACTTTTTCATTAGTTTGGCTTCTAATTTTAATGGTTTTTATCAGTATGTTCTTTTAACATAGTCAAGTATTTATATTTTTGGTTGTTAACTTCTAGCCCTGCTGCATTGATGTGTCTTTTATTTTCAAAATAAAAGCTTTTGATATGGCTTTACTACTTTTCCATAACAGTGATATGTCATCAGCATATGAAACATACTGAAGAGGTTGGTTGAAGTGAGTGCCTATTGGTTGTGAGTTTGGATTTCCATCAGAAAGTATCCTGTTATTGTTCCTCTTGTGTCAACATGTATGTTTCTTATGGCTCTCTGTAATGTTAGGTTAAATAGTTTACCAGACAATAAGTCTTCTTGTCTTAGGCCTCATCTAATCTGAAATTCCCTTGAATATTCTCCATGAACCTTTATTTTGCTATTTGATTTGTTTAATGTTACATGTATCAGTATCAGTCTTGTCTATTGGGTATGCCAACCTCCTGCAGAGTCTCAAATAGATATTTTCTTTTTATAATGTCATAATCCCATTTATAGTCCACAGAGTTGATTTACTGGGATATTTGTTACATTTCTCTAATGAGCATATGATATTGAAAATTTGATCAGTCATTGATCTGTGTTGTCTGAATCCACATTGGTAGTCACCTTGTATTTCTTCAGTATATGGTTGTAGTCTTTGGGCAATTAGTTTTGTCAGTATTTTGTATGTAACATTTAATAGGTAGATTCCTCTGTACTTTGTGCATTGGAGTTTGGAACCTTTCTTGTGTATAAGGGTTATTAGTGCTGTTTCCCATTCCGTTGGAATTTTCTCTTCTTGTCAAATTTTAGCTATAAGTTTATGTGTCTGAGTGTGTAGTTCTCTTCCTATGTATTTAATAAGTTCTGCTGTGATGAGGTCTGAAACATAGGAGCCAGAATGATCAATTCATTGATCGTGGGCCCTCAAAATAAAGAAGAAGAAGGTCTTTTCCAGGGGCTTTGTAGTTTTTCATAGAATTGATTACTTCTGTAGTTTCTTCCAAAATTGTGGCCCTCCATGTGGTGGTTGATAATCTTCATATTGTATATTGTCTGAATTTTGTATGCCCGCAAAATAGTCAGCCCACCTCTCCAATACTTTACTATTTTCCATAATTAATTCTCCATCATTGCTCTCACACATATTAGATCTGGCTTCGTATCCATTCTTTTTGTATTTTATCTTCATTTACATTCCTCTAATATTTCCCTCTCTTGATAAGTCTTCCATTTCATTTAGTTCAGCTTTTCCCCCATTCCCTTTTTCCCTTCCTGCACATTTTTGTGGCTTTCCTTCTGGCTTCAGTGTTTATTTATCTGGTGTTTCTGGTTTCCATTTGTATCATTCAAGATAACTCTAAAACAAACATACTTTCATAAAAATATATTGCATATTTTATAGCTTAATTTTTAAAGATGAGTAGAGAAGTTCATTATTAAAATCATATATTTTATATAACCCTGATTTACCAGACCAATGGATGAAACAACTCTTCCTGTTTTTAAATCAACAATTTTAATGTCTTTCTTGCATCCACAGAACAATTTGCCACCATCACTGCTCAGCTGTAAAGATAATAAAGGGAGGGAATCAGTTCACCCTCACAAGCATTACATCGACCGATGGGGTAAGGTAAAAAAAAAATGGCTACCCCGTGCCTCGCCATCTAACAAGTTTCTAGAGAGACTAAGAAACTGTATACAATTTGTTTAGGGCTATGTTTATTTAATTCTTAAGACCATGAGCTGGTCAAACTGTGTGTTTTACATCCTATTATTTTACCCTATTATCTGTTAGTAAATACAACTATTGCTAGGGTCCAACAGATAGGCAAAAGGATGAACATCAATCTCACTATTATCTGTTAGTAAATACAACTTTTGCTAGGCTCCAACAGATAGGCAAATAAGCCAATTAATAAATAATCACATTTGTTGTATGGCAGCAAGTTATTTATTCTGTAAAGCTTTATTGTACTTTGAATATGTGTATTTTTTCATTTATTTGTATTTTTTTAAATTCTAATTTTCAAAGTAAGTAAATATTTTTATTTTCCTGTATGCCTGCAAATCCTGGACATTAACAGCCGATCTTGAAAGGAAAATAAAGGTGATGGAGATGAGATGCTTCAGAAGCATTTTTGGCATCTGCTATAGGGACCATATCTCCAATGATACAGTGAAAGAAAGGGAGTACGATGACCTACTGGTGACTGTGAAAAAACGCAAACTACAATGGTACAGCCACGTAAAAAGGAAACAAGGGCTTGCCAAAGAAATATTGCAGGGTACCACAAGAGGTGGGAGAAGAAGAGGAAGACAAAGAAAAAGATGGGAGGATAACATCAAAGAGTGGACAGGACTAACACTGGGCGATGCTGTGCGTAGTGCTGAAGACAGAGACAAATGGAGGAGGATAGTTCACATGTCATCTGTGGCGCCCCAATGGTCCAAGGACTAAGGGACATGACGATGATGATGAAATATTTTTATAGCTAGATGAAGGCACCACACACACAAAAAACCAAAACACAATATGTCTGGTTATTTTACTTTCAGCACATACTCGCTCTAAGGCGCACTTTTAAACAAAATATATGTCAGGAGAATAAGTGGGGTGGTCAACTTATGAGCTGGTCTTAGGAGATTTTTATAAATTTTCTACTGGTACATTGAATAATGAATTTTTATATCACCATCATGTGTGCTTTGTGGTGCTTAATACCCCCATGCTTAATGCCCCACTTTACCGGATGTATTATCATTTGAGAATAAATAAATAATCATAAATACTGGTACTATAGTAGTTTTTGGTGTTTATTATTTTATACTATCATTAGGTGTAGGCCTTAGCCTAATTACATGAAGGCTGCAAAGAGTTGAAATTTAATCAAAATGGCCCACAAGCCATTAGGGCTGGGTGGCCACCCCTGATCTAAATGGTGCAGCCCAAAATAAAATTTTAAAAGTAAATTACCTGTAGTTGTCCTCCTGTGTAAAATGCTGAGTACTTTTCAACAACTGAAAAACTATAAAATGGAAACAGATTAAAATCAAAAGCAATGATTATTATTACAAATGTGTCCTAAGTCAATTATTTTTTTATTAATTAAATTTCATATTTTAGTGGAGTAAATGACAAGTCATATCTTTTTAAAGTGACAGGGTGTGGTGAGTTGAGGCCAATGAATAATTGCTGCTTCCCAGGGCTCTATTTGTTATTGGGGCGATGTATGTTTGAGGGAGGAAGCATTGCATAGTGAGTTATGCTTAGTGCATACCCACTGTGCAATTTGATTACGGTGCATATTGCCCTACCCATCATCTGCCTCTTTTATTACCATTCATTAGGCCTACCTCATAAACTTATAGCGCCTTCCTGTGTAATGTGTCTTGTATGATAATTAAATAAGATTATTAAAATGCATGCACATTCTGATAATTAATAATTATTTACTGAAAAATTTGTTGTTTTGAGGTAAATTCAAGATCATGCGATGGCGGCACACACCCCCCAGAACAAAAATTAGGTAATTGAATGATTTGTAATTCCACTAGACATTAGGTTAATTTAATGGCACTCCTCAGAACGGCAGTCCCAAATTAAAATTTACTACTTTTCGTTAGAAAGTGTCCAGCTACCAGCCTAATAGCCGTTGATAATTGGCGGCATAATTTTTTACTTCAAATTTGTTCGCAGACTAATTTTTGCTTGTAATAATATAAAATAAACAATGCCATATTTCTAATGTTTTGTCAGGAAACATTCAACAAACTTATGACACACCGTAGGCACTATATGGTTTGGTTGAAGTGGCTTGCTGAAAACCACCTAATACTAGGTACTTTCATGAAAATTTCAAAACATTTTTAAAAATACTACAGCTGTATAGAGCCTGGAGAATAGATTACAAAAACACCAAGATCAACTTTCTAGCTCAAGTGGTTCAAAAGTTATGAATTTTTTAGTAGGGACCTCAAAACCAACATTTTGTGACCCTCATTTTTTTAATTTTTTTTAACGCCTATAAATTTATTATAAAATGAGACAAAAATATAATATTTACATTATGACCCTATAAACTAAAACAGATATTAATTTAATCAATGAGCGCTTTTGAGAAAAAAAATTATGATCAATTAATTTTATACATTTTCATCTTCAATTTACAAAACTCTAACCTCAAAAAAAAAAAATCAAAAAAATTCTTAAAATTCTTCAAGTAATTGGTGGTTGTATAATTTATTATTATGCTAAAAATCTACTATAAAAGTTGAAACAACAATACCCTCGGTAAATTCAAAAGTGGAGTTCACGATTTTGATAACGAAATTATGATACCCGTTTTTCTGGAATTTCCAGGCCATACAGAATTACCTATTATTACCTAATAATACAAAAAAGCAATTAAACAGAGATAACTTTTTTTTAAATCTCTCTTGCATTTTTCTTTATTTTTCTTCTTCTTTAAAAAAACAATAAATAGTTCTTTCAGAAGATGATGATGATGAAGACGAAGAGGCTAATGAAGGGTGTGATCTTCATTTCATTAAAAAAAAAAGAATAAATTTAAATAGAACATTAGGCATAATAAATATATGTCACCAATTATCGGCAGCTATTAGCCTGACATTTTCTAACGAATAGTATTCTTTTTCTGTTTTTAATTTGGGACCGCCTTTCCATGGAGTGCCAATTTAATTATTGTGCACTGACAAGAAGTCACAAGACAATAAATAGTCCCAATAGAAGAATTATACCCAATATCATTCGTTTGAATCAACAGGCTAGAAATTCTTCTCTCACTCTCTTTCATTAAAATAACGCTAGCCACTAGGCTAGACTTTGACTTGACCAAAAAAAAATTTAATGAAACTGTCACAGTGTTCTGTTAAGTGTAAGTTTAGTGATTTAGTGTGTTGCATTGTGATATGAATAGATCAATAGACTTCAGAACTTTTACAATTTTAAGACAACAGCTCCCAAGAATTATTTAAATATCAGTAACCTAAATTAAACTGTCATAGATTTTCATAGGCAAATAAGTTTATAAATTTACTTTGACTTTAAGTGGCTCATGTTTAATGTTTATCAGCATGCCTACTGCCACTGCCTCCTAAATGTAAACAATGGTATTTCCGTTTCCGCTTAAACAAATAGAGAATCGCATCAGTGCGAATGTTTTGTCATACTCATAGATATACGTCATCCAATATGCATACTTAGGAAGATTATTAGCCTATGATGAAACTTATTTGCTATAAAAAAAAGATTTTGGCACTCCTTGCCTTTTTGAATTACATGTGACATTATCATTTAACTCACTATCTAAAGACCATTTTGACGCCCCTTTTATTTTGGCAATGGGGGGGGGGGGGGGTTCCCCCCATCCCCCCACTCTTTTTCGCACGGCATAAAAAAAAGATTTTGGCACACCTTGCCTTTTTGAATTTCATGTGACATTTTCATTTAACTCACTATCTAAAGGCCCTTTTGACCCCCCTTTTTTTTTGGCGATGGGGGGGGGGGGGAGTTCCCCCCATCCCCCCACTCTTTTTCGCACGGCCCTGTCTGGGATAAATCGCTTTAGAACTCTAAACTTTTATTAGTATTTTGTCTAAATGTAAATCAGATTTTCAATTCATCGTTTCTTTTATGACTGTATAATTGTAAGGCTATCTGTGAACTGGGCTGAAAACACCCCCCCCCCCCAAACCCCAAGGAAAACACAAGTCGGATATGACCACTTTTTAATTTTGTCCCTGGCCGCTCCAACCCACCACTGCCCCTCAACCACAATGTTTTCTCCTACACTACGCTGAACCTCAACTATCATCTCCATTTCTCCCTAGACCTATTTTGAACCTCTCACACTCTGATACCTTCTCCTCGAAACCAGGGACGTGCTGGCACATGGAAACCCGTGACGAACGGTGTAGTAAGAAAGGCCCGGAGCGCCAACACCCCCCCCCCCCCCCCCCCCCGGAGAATGCTCGTCGCGTCGTCGTAGGCCAGCTCGTCCCTGCTCGAAACCCTAGCTGCTCTACACCTCTCTTACCATTTATCTAAGACCATTTCCAATTAATTTCCAATGCTCCTTTCCCTCTCAAACCTAACATTTCCTCAATATCAGCTACTCTATATCGGCACTCAGAGGCGTGAGTGTTGGTTTGTGTCAACCTACCACACACCGTTTCCACGACCCCCCCCCCCTTTCCACACTATTTTACTGAGTAATTCTTAACCAATCCAAATCAAACAGAACAGTTTATTTTCATAAAGCAACAAACGTGACTTAAGAAGGAAACAAAACAAAACAAAAATAAATATATAAACAAAATATAATCATAAAATTGGGGTTACGGCGTTTTTAAATATGCAACAAAATTTCTTTTTATTGAAATATTAAACTTTGCAATTAAAACTTTATTTTATTTGTTTTAAGCGTTTCAGACATGTAAAGCACTTCCTCAAAATCAACACTATTATCTTTATCACAATCAATTGACAAAATCTCAAGACCAGAAAGTCTAGACTGCTCCATGGTAGATCGCAAATAGTTCATTATACTTCACAGTTTTGAAAAGCACCTTATTGGTGAAGCTACAGATACACATCATGAGAAACCATTCTAGGCTTGATGTAAGGATTTGGAGTGATTGTAGGAAGTTCCATTCAACTATGAATGTCAAAACTTCAAATATTGACCAATCATTGGCTTTGTAGGAGCCTTTGCAGCATTTCAGTTCACGTTCAGTTAACTCATAATTGAAAGTGGTCAGTTAGGGAAATGACATCTTATCCAGTTGTCCAAAGAAGATCTCTGGCTTGAACAGCTTCAGACATTTATGCTATGTCCTTGATGATTCTTGATCTGATCTGAAGTACAGAATGAATACGATCAATACACTTAAGCATTGCCTTCTTATTTTCTTCTTGTATGTGAGCCCAGTGTCTCCTGATTGCTCCAACGTCATTTTCTTCACCCCTCCAGACTTCTCCATGAACCTCCACCGAGTCTGCACACTCTGATGACACTTTGCTTTGATGGCACCCTACGTGGTGAAATCTTGACCAGTTGGCACACTTTTTCTGTTTGCAACGTACTCTGGTTATACTATGGTATGCTGCTCGACCTGGTGACACCCTGTAAAGGACGAAAACTGCTATGGTGGTAACTTGTTCTGGTGGCACCATGTTCTGTTTGCAACTTACTCTGATTGAACACTGTTTTGATTGCACATTGTTTTGATGACATCTTCATTGATGACACCATGTTCTGACTAAACCCTGCTCTTGTTTAAACTAAATCTGGTGGCACCATTTTATTGTATTTAACTGAGTACTGTTGTAAAACCAACTGAACTATGTAGAATCTGCATTTTCCATTAGCGGATTAGGTATCACCCTCCTTACAGGGTGTCACCCTGTGCGGTCCGCAACCCTCCTAGTGACGTTACGGCCAGTATTTGTCCCCCCCCCCCTCAAATCTTCTATAACTTCATCCACCTAAAATCATCTACCCTCTACCATGCATTGGCCCATCCCCCATGACCAGAGGCGTAGCGAGGGCGTTTGGCGCCCGGGGACAAGATTCGCGCCCAGAGACAAGATCCATTTTAAAGCGCCCCCTTTTCTTTTTTTCAACTCTCAAACCCATTATTTTTACCAATGATATAATATCAAAGCGCATTTTGGCGCCCCTAACTAGCTTGCGCCCGTGGACATCTGTTCCTCCCTGCCCCCTCGCTACGCCTCTGCCCATGACCTCTAAAATACCAAGAGCTCTACAAATAAATTCATCACGGGGATTTTAAATAATTATCTGGAATTTTAAAAAAGCTTGTCACAGAAAATCTACACATTGAGTAAACTATTGAAAAATATTTCAAATTATGTTAGAATAGCAATCTTCCATAAACATGATCACAATTGTGTAAAACTATTATTTTCGAATGATTTTGAATACATTTAAAAGACTTGCATTTTTAACAAGATTTATTATTTCTTTTCTAAAATTTTGATTAAATTTAATAAGTATTTTTATTTTAGTGTTATTTAATTGTAAAAAAAAAAATGTCATGGCTATCTCTGCATGTTTATTTGCCTTATCAACAAAATGGCTACCAAACGGACAGAAGATCTCGCAGCAGAAACTGTCGGTGACATGTCGGCTGAGAAGAAAAAGAAGGAAGTCCGAGTATGGATGGACGGATGGTTTGTAATTTTTTTACTTGTTTTACATAATTAAGTTGAATCAGATTAGCCTCTTGACGTTGACTGCCTTTTGAGTTCGACTTTGTCATTTATGTTTATTTATTTTTTGGCTACAACAGAAAACGTACTTACAGCACGGCTGTGCGGTCACACCACCAACAGGTTGGGGGGGGGGGGGTGTTCTAGACTAAGTAAGAGGAACAGTAACATAATTTAGTATCAGTCTCTATTGCTTATAATAAGCGAAATTGGTCACTTTTCACCTATCAATTCTGCAGATAAATTTTAAATTTGAAAACAGGGACCTGTTTTAATTAGTTAATTTTGAATTATTTTATTAAAATTATTCAAAATCAATCTTATTCTTATTAAATTTAATATGGGGCCATCCATNAAATATAACGTCACAAATCCCTGCCCCCCCCCCCCCCCTTTAAAAAGTCCTTGTGACTTACTTGTGTGCACTACTGTCCTTTAAAAACCCTTAAGCGATTCGCCTCCCATGGATATCAAATTACTGCACCCGTGACAGAAACATTTCACTAGATCAGTGGTTCTTAACCAGGGGTACAAGTACCTTGCAAGCCTTGAGGTGTGGAAGACCAAAAATTTGTATTCACTGGCATAGTTAGGGGGGTGCGGATCGCACCTGTCAAAACCATCTCAGGGGGGTGACACCAAATTGAAAAATAACGTAATTACAGAGCACACACTATTCGGTCTAACAGAAATTCATAAAAGGTTAACAGATGACATGTACATTTTCCACCCGTGTAACCAATCAAAATGCGTGCTTCGTTAATATTAAAATTACAAGGTTGATGCCACGACAATTAGATTACCATATTATTAGGTCAGAAACACACCATTTTGACCATGTTTAAACGCCGAATGAAGTGTTTGGTAACTTTTGCATAAGTTTCAGGAAGCTATTTTTATCTAAATTCTAAGAAATACAACTATCCTTTGATAAAAATTGGCAATTATAAGTACAAGTTACAGTTCTGAAATACATTTACCACCTTAGCTTCATTTAATTTGTTTTTGTTCTTGTATTTCTTATATATACTGTGGACTAAGTTTAACAAGAAGAAATACATGGTGAAAAGGGGGGTGGGTGGGTGAAACCACGAGCTTACTGGACCAGGTGACACCAACCCTAGCTACGCCACTGATTGTATTTGATGCCATTGCTAGTTATTGCTGCTTTAAAAAACAAACAAAAATAAAAAAGCAAGTTTGTATGGATTTTGATGAACAGCAGTCAATTTCATTGGCGCATTGCGTGTATTGGTAATACTTTCCCGTTTATAAAAAGTTAATTAAAGAAATAAAACTATGATAGCTAAATTATTTAATTATTTTAAATTTTATTACAATATAATTTATACGGTTGGGGAGGGATGTTTAAAAAGGAGTGGGCCTGCAACGCTGCAGAAAGGGTTTAGAATCCCTGCCCTAGAGCAGTAATTACTAAGATATCCCCCACCCCGCGGTCAGCGGTCAAACTTTCCCGCTCCATCCCTTTTCCCGCGTCCACATATAGCCATAAATTCTCATGACTGTCATTGTAACTACACTCCGATTCCCCTCCTCCTTGGTGTCCTGTAACTTAATCAGAGGCCATTCTTTGGACTGCACATACCTGTACTCAGGGCTGGCCCTAGGAGGGTGCGGGGCTGTGGGCAAATTGATTTTTGCGGGGCCGTTGAAGTTATATATTCGCCGATAGGATATTAAGACACGTTAAAGTCATACTGGGGCCTTGCTGGTCATAATGGGTAATGGGACACGTCATAACGGTAGCTAGACTGACCTTCAGACCATTTGACTATCTAATAACTCCGAATATTGTGTTTTGGCGGGCTGAGGTATATTATAAATATACTACGGCAACGTGCGGTCGCCCACTTCAC